TGATGAGATGAAGCTTCATGAAGCCCTGAGGAACTCCATCCAATCACTGGACTCATGAGTCGATGCACCGCGGTGCTTCATCTGCTCCACTGTGACATCAAGTGGACAATATATGTGAAATAGTCAAAACAACATGAAGCCTTACAATAAATAAACAAGTAAAAAATGGTTGTGATTCTGATACATAAATTCTGATTAACCTGGTTGCATAAAAAAAGGCTGGATCAAAAAGAAAACGGGGAAAACAGGAGAGAGGGTTGTGATTGGCTTGTTATTCGCTATGTCACCAGAGACAACGATTTATGATAGAAAACATTAAAACTTTATTGTTCTCGGGTTTAGGTGAGTTCTCCGTTTTATTTGCTTCATAAAATTTATCATGGATTAATCGACACACCACTAATGAAAAGTTTGACCACATTTGTTAAGCAAATCACAAAGTTTGACCTTTGTTATTTGCTTGTCAAACTGGAAAAGTAAACTATAAAAACAATCTTCAAGGTTTTTGGACATTAAACTTTTATCTACATATGAAGCATCACCTCAGTGTAGCGGTGGCTTCTTGATTGGACTTTTATAGAATATTTGGTTTGACAAACAATCGCCACTACGATTTATTTATTACACATTATAAAATTTTACAGCTACTAACAGCTCTATTAATATTTTATGTTGCTTGCTTTACTAATCTTGCACTGCATTGTTCACATTTCTCCAGTTTTCTGAAGTAAGTCTCAGTAGTAAAAGGAGAGGCATAAAAAAGGTCATTTTCTCTCTACATAAATAAGCCATTGTCACAGCGTAATATTCATGTCTGCGTTCTAACATGTTAACAAAATATTTACACGGGAAAAGAACATTTACTAAAATGATCCTCATACAGAAAGCTGCAGACATTAACCTTCGTCCAAACGCTGGTGTTTCCTACCTAATCGGTGTAAGATTATCCGGGGGGTCCGGGAGAAATCCAGCAGTCTGCGCTGATCATCCATCTCCTCCTCTGACTTGACGATTATTCCTTTAAACTCTGAAAGTTGCTTCAGCAGCAGTTAACAGGAGCTTTTTGATAAACTCGTTAAAACTGGACAGAAGATAGTCTTCAGAGAAACACTCAAACATTCAACACAACAGACCACGTGCAGTTCGCTTTGTCTTCTTCTTTCGGGTTTTATGATTGTCGGTTTTCATGTTATTGCTTTACCGCCACCTTGTGGATCCTTCGATCATTACATGTAAAGAGTTCTCATACAGAGCCAGTTCTTTTTGAGAAACGTAAAATCTTTTCATAGTAATAATAGTAGACAGCTGCAGCAGAAAAGAGAAAAATACAACTAAAACAAAAAAAACCCCCACTAAATTATTGACGACAACCATAATTTCTAAAATAAAGATCAATGTATATTAGTAATGTATATTAAATGTAATTATTTTTTTATGTATTCATAAAACTTTTCATTCAGGTATGTTGGGCCAGAATCAAATCTAAAAGTTTCAAAACAACGACCCTTGAAGACTGGAGTTTGACTGTTTTAATGAGTTAATACTCATACATTTTATCAACAGTCTTCAACATGCACAGCAGAAAACTAAAAATGTGTTTTCCACTTAGTTTACTTCTGTCCATTTTGACTCCGTCATGCAGGTCAGCTATAACTGCCGTGGACTTGTCGCCAACACCGACCCTCACTTTGTCACCGTGATCCTGACCAAGCTGCGCTTTGAAGTTTTCCAGCCGGGAGACTATGTAATACGAGAGGGAACGCTGGGTCGGAAAATGTATTTCATCCAGCATGGCACCGTCACGATTATCCCGCGTGGCAGTAAGGAGTTAGTGCTCAGTGATGGAGCCTACTTTGGAGGTAAATACAGCAGAGTATTAAAACTCTATTCAGCTACTTATCAACTCTACGAGAGTCTTCATTATTCAGATTATTGCTGCCCTTCTTCTATAAAATCTCCCACAGAACCCTTGGTTGTAACTGCACTACATTTTCCAACAAATATTTACTATTTATTCTGAATTTCTAATGGTAAATGTAATTTTTCATCATTGGCTTGATGTTATTTTGAAGAGAAAACTAAAAATTATGAAATATTTCACTCTGTAAAAGCAATGAAGATAATGTGCAAGTTGCTTGATTATAATTATACTGTAAATAAATTTTGCAGTGTAGTTTTTCTTTTTACTTGCACTGTGAAAAAAAAGACAAGAAAATCTTACTATGAATTTTTATTGAGAAAACAAGAAAAAAGACAAAACTAATTTACAAATAGCATTTCTGTAAGAAGAAGGGTCTGTCATAGTTATTAAAATAAATAAAAGCCCTCAATGGGAAGCCTCCAGTCCACCATGTTGTTTTTTACTCAGCTCAGCCAGTGCAACCCCAGAGTTCAACAACCAGCAGAGCTTGGACCTGAAGAGCCTCTGCATTAGTCCTGGAGAGCACAGCAGGGGGCTTTATGTGGACGTGTTGTTGAAATCAAGGCCCCAGGCTCACCTGGCTTAACAAGGAAGTGCCTTCAACATTACAGCTAATGCTTTTGCTGTTTAGTTTTAAAATGCACAATAAGAATTAAAGCTTATAAGAAGTCTTTTCTTTTTTACATATTTATTGAAACTGTCACTATGTTGTGACAGTTTGGTATGAGGCAGACAATCTGTCTCATACCGCTCTCAGTTACACTACTGCTTCTTCCTGATAGCAGAGTTTGGCATGAATGCTAAGGCTAGTCAGCATGGCCACCAATGATGAGAGTTATTTTCCTGGAATGGTGGATTGTTTCTCTGACATTAGCACAGACATGATGGGCTGCCTCCTCCTGGCTCTGGTTGATTTTGACTAAAAGTGGTGCATTTCTTCACACAGCAATAATAGCTGAGGGAGAAGGCAGAAGAGCTTGATCTTTTCAGATTATCTGTCTCATATTAAATTGTCACAACATAGTGACCAGCTTGGTATGAGACAGATAATCTGTCTGCTAATCAAATATGCAGAAAAAATATTTGTCGATGGGAGAGAAAAATATTAGTTTGCCTTGCTACCTTTAGTTCCCATGATGTTCAGGATCCAATGATTGTTATTATCCCCACTCTTAGCCACGGCTCTCAGTTGTGTGTGGAGGTTGGTGCTGCTGGATCTAGTTGGTAACACTTGACCAGACACACCAACTCCAGATCCTTTCCCTACAGTGAAATATAACAATTCCTGTTCAAACATAAATATGTTTTCTGTTTAAAACACCTTTTATATGATCCAAATAGATAACATCTAACATTACTGTGTTCCTCTTCAGCTTCTTCAGTGTGATGGGAATTTGTACGACTCCATCTCAGTAGCGATCAAAGCTGCTCTCTTCATCACTAAGTGAGTTTGTTCAGTTCATATTACTCCATTAGCTTTGATCTAAACTGATTTCCTCTATAAACAAACAAACAAAAATAATAAGTTGGAAAATGAGCCATGTTCTGGTTTCCTCACCGACAGAATTCCCAGAGTTCACATCTCATCCGATGAGGAAGGAAGGAAGGAGATCGAGCTCTCTGACGACCCGTACGACTGCATGAGACTCGATGTGGAAAACGTTCCCTGCATAGTGACTTTATGCAAGGTGAGCTCCCAGCTGATGCTTTCAGACAGAAACTAGATTTGACAGGGTTGATTAAGGCTTACTGGGTTTTTGCATGCAGATCGGCCACTTGACACTTTTAATAGACTTTTAATGCAACTTTATTTACCGAATGGTACTTTATGAAACATTCATGAAACACCTTCATGTTTCTGTTATGTCAGTCTTATGCTCACCCCTTCAAATAAAGTGTTTCCTCTTAAAGTTTTAAAGACTTTAGAACATTCCTCTTGGCTTTCTGTATATATATAAATATATTTGTACACTTCTGTTGTCATGGTAGATTTTTTTTTCTGTGTTTGTTATTGAGAAACTAATTCATTAATCATTAAGTTCAAAGTGTAAAACATACACCTTTATAAATACTCATCTATTTAATACTCGTCCAACCTTAATGACTGCTGGAGGGAGATTTGAGTATTTAATCATCACCACCTTGATAAATACAGAAGTTTTGTGTCTACTATAAACAATGATCCATGCAATGAAACTGAACACAAAATACAGGTGCTTTAAAACGAGGATCACATATGTATTTATTGTATGCTTTTAATAAAAGTACTGAATTTTCTTAAATTAGAATAATGCAAGCAACAGGAATGAGGCAGTTTGTCGCAGGTGGAGGGATAAAGCTGAGCTGTAACTCCAGAACAAAAAGTTTAACATAATTAACTGAATCATGCAGGGAATCATGGAGCTTGTTTTAGTTTCTCTTTTGTTTTTCAGTTCCTACTCAGAGCTGCTATTTCCAATAAATGTGGGAGAGGAGAGGGGGGAGCCGCCTGGGTATCCTGAGCATCCAGAGACTTTGGAGACTAAATTAAATAATATCAATATTATTGTTATATAACTCACCTTGATATATGCAACAAGTTATTGCATATATTAGACTACTGCACATTTGAATCTGGAGAAAATTAGTAATATAGCTGAACTCATCCTCCAGATTTACGCTGGTATTTATTTTTACTCAATGGAGATTACAATGTGCATTATATGTGTATTCTGTACAATGACTTAGCTGAATTTTATGCACAATGAGACAGTCCTTGAAAATAGCTTGAAACAGAACCAAAGCTCTAGTTTCACTTTCATTTTGACTCCAGGACTGTTTAAAATCCTCTACAGGATTCTAGCTGTTCATTATTTCACTGCAGCTGGAGTGTCTGCACTGCTCTCTCTGACTGATCATGGACAACCACAGGTTCAGCCCAAACAGGACTTACGGCTATGGTAAGTCACTTTTATCCTTCTTTTGTGTCATTCTGCTTCCAAAGAGTATCACAGTGTGCAGATAAAATAGTTTTATAAAATTCTGTTAATTAAAGCATCACGTATAACCAGCCAATTCCTTATTTTATTTTATTATTAACATCTATCTATCTATCTATCTATCTATCTATCTATCTATCTATCTATCTATCTATCTATCTATCTATCTATCTATCTATCTATCTATCTGATCTTTTCATGAAAGTCTGAAAAACACGTCAGAATTTTGTCCAATGCGACTCAGGCCACTTGGATATCCGATACGTATCGAATTATTTCAAATACGATCTGAATCTGAACTGAACGGCCGCGTTCATTGATCTGAACGTCATTGATACTCGACAAACTCAATATTCTGCGTCCTGATAAGCAGGAAGAAAAACAACTATGGCAGACTATAATAAGGATTAAATTGTTAATGTACTGGCTCTGGACTGACAACAACTTAAAAATCATAAACTATGCTACACCGTTAGCATCCATGTTTACATCCACTGAGCACATCTCCTTTTTTATTGCGGTTGAGCACGCTCTATGTCTGTGACGTTATTGCGCCCTCTAGTGCGCATGCGAAGCACTTTCAGGTAGTTTGACGTTCACACTGGACGTAAAAAAACGTCAGGTCGCATATATTTGGAAGCGTGAACGACCACGCCAAAAAAAAACAAAAAAAAAAAACAGATTTTGATGGTCAGTGTATAGCCTTGTAAACATTTGTTTCCAAGAGACATTTTTGGCCAATATCTTAAAAAAAAAAATAAAATAAAAATAAAAGACGTTTTTGACCAATCTAGAGGGCTCTGGAAGGTAAAAATACTGAATTTCATGACTCTATTATAATTTGCATAATTCTAAGGAATCCACCCTGAAAACAGAAGGGACAGTGGACCAGACAATCCAGGTGTTTTGGAACAGGAATGTATTAAAGTTGAAGGATCGTCTCTCTTCAGGGCTGGACTTTCGCAGACTTTGTAGCCGATACATAATCTTAATGCAAATAGTGAATGTGCTGGATTATAGTATTCACATTAAGCCACAATAACATGACAGCAGTTTTATTGGACCACAACTAAAGTTCCACGACACGATGATTCTAATTCAGATTAAAACTTTCTTCTTTACAGGAACAAACATTACAAACAACACTGAACTGAGGATCGTGATGGTGGGGAAGACTGGGATTGGGAAGAGCGCTTCTGGAAACACCATTCTGGGTCGAGGGTGCTTTCAGTCCAAATGCAGCCCCAAATCCATGACTGTGAACTGCTCCAAATGCTCCAGTAATGTGGACGGACAGCAGGTTACTGTCATTGACACTCCAGGTCTGTTCGACACCAGGTTTGAGGGAGACAAAACCATCAAAGATCTGAGTCAGTGCGTCTGTTACGCCGCTCCTGGACCCCACATCTTCCTGGTGGTCGTTCCAATCGGCAGATTCACAGCAGAAGAATTACAATCAGTGCAAATGATTCAAAAAGTCTTTGGAGAGGCAGCAGACAGATACAGCATGGTTCTGTTTACCCGTGGAGACGACCTTGAAGGCACCATTGAAGATTATTTATCTGACAGCCCAGAGCTGCAGGATCTGGTGTCCAGATGTAACAACCAGTATCATGTCTTCAACAACAAGCTGAAAGATAAGAAACCTCAGGTCACTGAGCTGCTGAGGAAGATCAGAACCATTGTTGACAAGAATGGAGGAAGTCACTACACCAATGAGATGTTCCAAGAGGCTGAGAGGGCAGTTGAGGAGGAGAAACAACGAATCCTGAAGGAGAAAGAAGAGAAAATACGCAAAGAGAAAGAAGAACTGGAGAGAAAAATAAAAGAAAAGTATGAGAAAGAGATGGAGAGAATGTATAAGCAAATCCAGGCTGACAGAGAGAGAGAGAGAAAGGAGAGAGAGGAGGAGAAGAAGAGGGAGAGAGAGGAGATGAATAAGCAGAGGAAGTGGGAGCAGGAGGAGATGAAGGAGGAGAGGAGAAGGGAGAGAGAGGAGATGAATGAGGAGAGGAGGAGGGAGAAGGAGAGGATGCATGAGGAAAGACAGAGGGAGAAAGAGGAGATGTGTGAGCAGAGAAGAAGGGAAATGGAAAGGAGTGAGGCAGAGAGAAAGGAGAGAGAGAAGCAGTTTGAAGCCCTGAAGGAAAAGCAGGAGAAAGAAATTCAACAAGCAAAATCCAGGCTGCAGTCTGAGCATGAATCTAAGGCCAGAGAAGAAGCTGAGCAAAATAATCCTCTCTATCATTTGGCTAAAGCTGGAGAATACCTGGTTAATGCTGGAAAACAGGTTGTTAACATTGGAAAAGATGTTTTTAATGCTGGATGTAGCCTTGTTAAATCTTTTACCAGCTTGTTTTAATAGTAAATGGTGAAAGTTGGAACCTTGCTGCTCATACAAACATGAGGATGAACAAATTTCAACCGCAAGTTCCTTAACAAAAACAAAGTATAAAACATGGAGAACAGAAAACAACAAACTAGATTCTGTTTCTTTCATTGTTAATAAATGAAGCAGATCTCCAGTCAGAGTAAAACTCCTTCACCACATCTTGACATTAAAACTCAGAACCTGGATGTTCTTTACACCTTGTTGGAAAGTTCATGTGAGGTTTTCTAAGAACACAGTTATATTTGATCATCATGGACTCTGCACCTCCTGATAGGCATGAATAATTTGGAGCTTAACTGTCTATAATATGAAGCTGCCAGACTTTAACAATGTTGGAGATCTTGAAGACTGCAGGCTGATCTTAAGGCTGTTTCACATGCAGTCAAAGAAAAAGTTTGAATCCTTGTCAAGTTAGTGTTTGCATATTATTTCAAAGTATTTCACGTATCACTCTTTAAGCTCTTAGAAACTGTCTTTTGGAAAATGTATATTGTTGCTGGAAAGATTAGCATAAATAGAAAATGACAGTAAATGTACTAGATTCAGGATGATTTTTACTTCAATATTCCTGCACTTTTTGCAATAATTCTCACTTTGTGATGATTGTTTGAACTGATTTCTGTCACCCTGATTTGTGTCACCCTGTTCTGAATATGAAATCACAAATAAAGCTTGATGAAAACAATAAATGCTGCTAAATGTATTGTTTTTTTTAAATTAGTTGCTTTACACATAGAAGTGACTGGGGAATGTTGTGGTATTGAATGGATAATAAATTATTTCTGTTCTGTTATAAATCCACACTTAAACTAGAACTGAGATGAAATTCAATTTTAAACAAAACAAAGTGTTTTGTCTTCATTTGCAGAAAACATTTCAGTGTTTTGTAAGGATTTCAGCTAAAGTTGATATAAATTCAGAAATACAAAACTATGAAAGATATTTTTACTCACATCTTAATTTCTTTTGTTTACATGTTTGAAGTCAAACTCGTTTTAATTTCATGCAGAGAGTTCCTGACTAAATAAAAATGAAAAATCTAGAGAAATTGGAAAATGTTATGAATTAATTTTAATTTATCACAGTTTTTGAACTCATAGCTTTGGCATAATTAAAATAAGATCTATAAAATCATTAAGTATTCACTTAAGAGCACCTGTCTGCTAACATGAAGTAGACTAAAACAACAATTACAGAGATAGTCCACAAATGGAGAAAACAAAGAGCGGAGAGGAAGATTCCCAGAAAAGGACACTTAAAATTACTCCATGAGCAAATTTACCTGATAATGGAGCTCATGAATATAATCATGACATATTATTTCAATTACATTTTTACTGCTTTTGTTTGGCGATTTAGACTATAATAAATAGATTAACACAACTTTACATCAGCACTTCTGATTCATTTTCTGTAACTCATTAAACTTACGTCAAGGAGCAATAATTTTGGCACGAATTAACATATGTGGCACTGGAAGTTATCAGTGTTTTGCTTCATATAATGTGAAAAAACATTGTAGTGAAGTTTTTCATGAGATCACAGCTTTTCCGCTCCTGTTTTCAAACTGTCCACTAGAGGGCGGTGTAGCGCTGCCATAAAAGGAAACGGAGCTGAGAAACAGAAAGTTTTCAACAACCAGCACAGCTTGGATCCGAGGAGCGTCTGTATAAAACCTGCTGGGTGATTAATTATGTGCAGAAATGGGAAATAATTAGTTACTTACTCTAGTAACTTTTTAAAATTTATTTATTAATTTTTTTAAGGAAAAGTACTTTTAGGAGTATGTTTTTGTGCTGTACATTTTACTTTTACAAGGTAAGGTAAGGTAACCTTACTTTTAATAGTAATTTTTTAGGTAAAAAGTATACTTTTTACTTTTACTTGAGTAAAAATATGTAGAAATAGCGTTACTCTTACTTGAGTGTAATTTTTACCCAGCTCTGTTTATGTGGACGTATTGGTGAGTTCAAGCCTCCAGGCAGACAGTGGGGGTTTATTGGCTAAATTCACCTCTTTATGTTGTTTGTATTAAGATAATGATGTAATTTTCTAATAAAAAATATATTTGATCACTTGGTTCACTTTTGTGTTTCAGTGTTGTTGAAACAAATCTGACAAATTAATCATGAATTTCAAAGTGTAAAATATAAACCTTAATAATAATTCATCTAGACAATAATTGTAATTTACTGGAATACTTATTTTAACCAAACTGAATTCAATGTGATTGGTGTAAAGTAGAACTAGTTTGATTTTGAAAATGCTTTGAGGGGAGATTTGTGGTGAATTTTTGCTTCATAAACAATCTATTGAAATTAAATTAACAACTTAATATACAACATTGTGTTAAAGCTTAAATCACTGTAAAAAAAGTTCTAGTTAAAGGTCTAATTAAAGCAAATATATATGTGATAGCTACTCGTAAGTAAATAATAATTAAAAATCCTTGAAGCTTTTCCTTATAATTTAATATTGTTTAATGATAGACAAACAGATGTGGATTAAAATAAATCAGTAAATAAACCCACATTGCAATGATGATTGAACAGTGATCACACATTAAAGTCATGAAATTAAACTATTGCAAGAAATAATAGAAAGAATGGACATACAAATATTATTTAGTGTGTTTCCACCCTAATTATGAATTTAACTGAAAGAAATTAATTCATTCTCAGACATCTGGAAATTAGAAAATGATACAAGTAATGATATTCAATGATGCAGTTTTACTCAACATGTAAGCATGTAAACGTCAGCTAATAATTTTTAAAAACAAATTATGAGATACTGAGGTTACAGGTGAATTATATCATTCTACCTGGACTTCTACTTTATTTTTAAAGACAAGAAAGAAAATGAAAAAAAACCCCAATGCAGAACGAGACACACCTGCGGACAATGAAGGGGTAGACAGGGCACCACGGAGAAACACTAAAGACAGAACCTAAAATAAACAGAGAACTCAAATCACAACACGTCATATATAATTTGCCACAAATGTCTCTTCAAAACTACTTTTTAAAATAAACAAGTCCTACTTAACTAATATCTAGAGTTTGTTTCAAATAGGTTGAGTCAGGCACTATGTGATTATTATATTCTCAAATTCAAATCATGTGTCCTGTAGTCATGTCTATAATCCAGTACAGTCCACACTTTATCATGTAATGCCAGTGGAGAAATTATGGTCCATCTGGTCTATGTAAGGAAACCCAGACGACTCTATCAAGTTATTGATTTTTCAGAGGTCCAACATTACGGGGAAACATGACAGTGGAAAAGAACCACTTACCTGGAAGAATCATCTAGCAAAACCAAGATCATGATGCCGAAACATCTGGATTGTCACACTTTTTATACTTTTTTTTCTAAATAATGTTTTTAAAAACATGCGATATTTTCCTTTTAATGTTACAGTTTTAAAATTTTTCATACTTATGTGGCGCTGAAAGTTATCACCTAATGTTTTGTTTCAGGCAACATGCAGAAATATTATTGGAGTAAGGTATTTCATCGGGGATCACAGTTTTTCTGCTGCTGTTTTAGAACTTTCCACAAGAGGGCGGTGTAGCGCTGCTTTACATTTTTAACTGCAGGTTTTCATGTAAAGGGGAACGGAGCTTAGAAACAAAGTCTTGAACAACCAGCACAGCTTGGATCTGAGGAGCATCTGAATAAAACCTGATGGATGATGTATGTGCAGAGATGGGAAATAATTAGTTACAGTTACTTGATTAACTTTTTTGGGGAAAAAAGTACTTTTTGGAGTATTTTTCTGTGCAGTACTTTTTACTTTTACTTGACTAATTTTATTATGAGGTATTGATACTCTTACTTGAGTATAATTGATTCTCTACCCTCTGTGGATAATTTCAGTAAATTAAAAATAAAATCTGTTTTAGTCCAAAAAAAAGAAAAAAAAAATTCACCAGAAACAGACTTTTTTTTTTTCTCAAAAAACATTATTTTGAAGGGAAATTATCTAGATGTTTTTGGTCCACGTAACTTTACATTTTGGTCCATCTGATGATATAATATTTAAATGATGATGTTTTGGCTGCACAGTGGCGCAGTTGGTAGAACCATTGCCTTGCAGCAAGAAGGTTCTGGGTTTGATTCCCGGTCTGGTCTTTCTGCATGGAGTTTGCATGTTCTCCCTGTGGATGCATGGGTTTTCTCCGGGTACTCCAGTTTCCTCCCACAGTCCAAAAACATGACTGTCAGGTTAATTGGTCTGTCTAAATTGCCCCTGAATGAGTGTGTGCATGGTTGTTTGTCCTGTGTCTCTGTGTTGCCCTGCGACAGACTGGTAACCTGTCCAGGCTGAACCCTGCCTCTCACCTGGAACGTTAGCTGGAGAGGCACCAGCACCTCCTGACCCCACTAAGGGACAAGGATGTTCAGGAAATGGATGGATGATTGATGTTTTGATCAGTACTTGAGTAGCCTTTTTACCAAATACTTTTTTACTCTTCAGTATTTTTTAGGTTTTCTACATTCTACATTTACTTGAGTAAAAAAATATGTAGAAGTAATGTTACTCTTACTTGAGCATAAGTTTTACCCAGCTCTGTGGACGTGTTGTTGAGTTCAAGCCTCCAGGCAGTCAGTCGGGGTTTCTTGGCTAAATTCACCTCTTTATATAGTTTGTATTTAGATGTAGATGTAATTTTCTAATAAAAAATATATCTGAACACTTGGTTCACATTTTTGTTTCAGTGTTTCAGAGAAAAATCTACCATTGAATTCAAAGTGTAAAATACAAGCCTTAATAATCATTAATTTGTTGCCTTTCATTGTGTGGAGAATAAACAATGAAATCAGCTTCACACAATGAAACTGACCACACAATCCAAGTGCTTTATTTATAAAACAAAGAACCAAATGTATTATTATTTTTTATACAATTTCTGAGTTTTCTATAATTAGAGTGAATTAGAAAAGTATTGAAAGTTGTAAAAGGCAAAAATGTAATACAATGAACATTAATTAGACAGTTTGTTTCAGGTGGATAGATGAAGCTGAGACTCCAGAACAACATTTTTATCTTAACCGAATCCTGCACCATAGCTTATTTCCAGTTTTGGTTTTCTTTGCATTTGTTCCCTATTTGCTGCCATTTCTTGTAAAATAAAATGAGAAAGGAAAGAGCAAGGGAATATCCAACCTTTATTTAAATCTAGAGAGACTTTGGGGACACAAACTGAAAGTCATACAGCAGAAATGTTGTATATTTTTTGTATAAGTAATTCACCTTTACAGACTCCTATATAGACTATTTTAGATTTTAGATAAAAATTTTATTATATTGTTGCATTTTTAAATTTGGAAAAGAAAAATCAGAAAAGCTGAGCTAACCATCAATCTTTAAGACTTCATACAATTGTGGGTTTTTATCTTCAAACTTATTGCATATCACCTCACAGTTCAAAACAGCTTCTAAAAATGCTTTAGCTGTATTTTATGTGGATCAATTAAAGCAGGAAAGACATTTTTGAAAACCTGGGACAGAATTAACCAATCAAAGCTCCAGTTTCAGTTTCATTTTACCTGCAGGAATGTTTAAAAAGGCCTTCACACAATCCAAACTATGTTCATTACCTGACTGCAGCGGAAGAGTCTACACTGACTGATCATGGCGAACAGCAACTCCAACTACGGTAAGTCAGAATAACTATATATTTAATCTGGCTGATGTAGAAAATATCAACCAACAAAAACACATAAACTTTTCACTTTCAGCCTTCTGCTGTGTTATTGTGGGGTTACAAAATCTACTGATACAATTAAAGATTTTAATTCCTATAAAGGATGTTAAACAAGTGAAGAAGGTGAAGCTCTTCTTCACTGGTGCACATGATTATTTGTCAGGTTGGGTTTTGGGCTGCGTCACGTAGATTATATCAGTAACAAAAAAGGAGCAAATGTCAGACGACATTTGATCTTTATTATTATAAACTTAGTAGCAGCTGTCACACAGAGGACAAATTAAAAAGCAAATAGAAAAGAGAAAATTTTTGATTCCCTGAAACACTCCTAAGGTCTCAACTATATTTTTTCCTCTCATCCAAATACACAGAAGCTGAAAATCTGAGTAGATGATGATTCTAATTCAGATTCAAACTTTCTTCTTTACAGGAACAAACATCATAAACAACGATGAGTTGAGGATCGTGATGGTGGGGAAGACTGGGATTGGGAAGAGCGCCACTGGAAACACCATTCTGGGTCGACCGTGCTTTGAATCCAAATGCAGCGCCAATTCCCTGACTGTTGACTGCTCTAAAGTCTCCAGTAATGTGGATGGACAGCAGGTTGCCGTCATCGATACTCCAGGTCTGTTTGACACCAGATTTGATGAAGATAAAACCAGAAAAGATCTGAGTCAGTGCGTCCGATATGCCGCTCCTGGACCCCACATCTTCCTGGTGGTCGTTGCGGTGAGCAGATTCACAAAGGAAGAAAAACAATCAGTACAACTGATTAAGGAAACATTTGGAGAGGCAGCAAACAAATACAGCATGGTTCTGTTTACCCGTGGAGACGACCTTGATTCCACCATCGAAGAGTATTTGTCTGAAAGTCTAGACCTCCAGGATCTGGTGTCCAGATGCAACGGCCAGTATCATGTCTTCAACAATAAGCTGAAAGATAAGAAACCTCAGGTCACTGAGCTGCTGGAGAAGATCAGAACCATTGTTGACAGGAATGGAGGAAGTCATTACACCAATGAGATGTTCCAAGAGGCTGAGAGGGCGATCGAAGAGGAGAAACAACGCATCCTGAAGGAGAAAGAAGAAGAAATACGGAAAGAGCGAGAAGAATTGGAGAGAAAAATACAAGAAAAGTATGAGAAAGAGATGAAGAAAATTAATGAGCAAATCCAGGTTGAGAGAGAAAAAGAGAAGAAGGAGAGAGAGGAAGAGAGGAAGAGAGAGAAGGAGGAGATGAATGAGGAGAGAAAGAGAGAAATGGAAAGGAGAGAGGTAGAGAGAAAAGAGAGAGAGAAGGAGTTTGAAACCATGAAAAAACAACTGAAGGAGCAGCAGGAGAGAGAAATTCAAGCTGAAAAATCCAGGCTGCAGTCCATGCATGTGTCCAGGGCCAGAGGTCAAGCTGAAAGACGTGGTGGTGGCGGCGGATGTGTAATGCTGTGAGGTTAAATGTTGTTAGACATTAAAACAGAACTAATAAGCTTTTTTTCTCTTTATTTTTGCTGTTGTTTTGAAAAATGAAGTAGAACTCCTGGTAGAATGATGTAATTCACCTGACAATTTGTTTTAGGAAAGTATCTGCTGATATTTAAATGCCTGCATGTTCAGTAAAGCTGTTTGAATAATTCTCATTTCCAGATATGTGTGAATGTTTTAATTCTCTCAGTAAATAAATCCATAATTATGTTCTTACCGAAAATATGCTTCTAAAAGTCAATCCTTTCAATTCATTATTTACTGTAATAGTTTAATTTTATGATTTTAATTTGTGATCACAGTTTAAACCTCATTGCCATTGAGCTTATTTATTGATTTATTTTAGTCCAGATTTGTTGTGACATCCTGAGCTGAGTTTAATACGACACTTAAACCTTTGTCTAATCATTAAATACTGTTACATTATAAGAAAATACTTTATCATTATAAACTTAGTAGCAGCTGTGAAGTCATATTTGCTTTTATTAGACCTCCTAATGTAACCCTCACAAGCTTTTTAGTGACAGGGCTTTAACCCAAAGCTGTATATTAAGTTGTTGTTCATTTAATTATATTAGACTGATTATTTATTAAAGTGGAAATTCTCCACAAACATAAACTCAAAGCACTTTTCAAAATAAAACAAATACCACTTTACCCCAGTCATTTTAAATATGTATTTCTCACTGCATTGAACCCCATTGTAACCTCCTGGTTGTTCCACCAAATATTGATTTCTGAACTCTTCTGAAATCAGGAAGAGTCAGAAAGCTCTGCATCTTTTTTGTTATTTTGACCATTTTGCATTTTCTGCAGATAAAAACTAAATTTTTCCTTGGAATTTCAGAAACATGTTATCAGAAATTCATAGAATAGAAGAACAATGTTCATTTTACTCAAACATGTACCTATAAAAAGGGAAATCAGAGAAACTGATAAGTTTAAGTGGTCTCTTCAATTTTTCCAGAGCTGTACAATATGTGTGTGTATTTATTAACCCCTATAACCCGAGGACCCACCGGTGGGTCC